AACATATCATAATATGTAATAATTAATTGAAATGTATTACTTGTGTAATTATTAAATATAAAATTAAATGTAGAATTTGTAAAATATAGAATTGTTGTATTTTATATAGGTAAAACTAACTAAATAAACTATAATATAATTAAGATAAAAAAAGCCTAGAGAAGTATGTAATATTTAAATAATTTTCTCGTAAGTCCAGCTTAGACAGAAATTTATCAAGTATTTAAAATAACAAACAATTTAACAATTTAAAGAAATAAAAACGTAATTTATTATTTATTTAAAATGTATTTCAATTGTTCAATTGACTTTTAGTTTTTACTTTACATAGGTACCTAATGAAATCTAGAAACTGGTTGTCAATTATTAACATTTTATTTAATACTATAGGCTTTGTTAATTTTGATTATGTTATATGTTTTACTGTAGACTTAGTTTGTTATAAATAAAATAAAACATAATTCCACAAAAATGTATTTTTATGGTTATTAAGTTTTAATAAATTATTTGTTGCCTATATTAGTAAATAATTATAATAACCGTTTTTACTTACAAGTTTATACCCAAGTGGCTGAGTGTATTGAGGCCATGTATTTTGAATTCCAGTTGATAAATGATTTGTTTTAATTTGTTGTAATCGGTAACCCGTAGTTTTTTCCAAATATTTTCAATTTCAGGCCATGATAGTTACTCATGCTTTAAACTAGCCATAAGGGTAATGGCATCATCTTTAGTTACTATAAATAACAAAATAAAAATTGTTAACTAATTAATAGGAACAATAAATCTATTTTAGTGATCTGGTATTACCTAATTCAATGTTTGATTCCTCAAAAACACGTGTTTGAATTTCGCTTTCAGTATTGTTTTGTAATTTTGATACAACAAATTCTTGACTCTTGAAGCTTCTTAGTTTAATAAAATATTTAGAATAAAGTTTTCCTTTAGGGCATTTTTTTGCGCCATCTTTTGTAAAGTATATTTCCTTTAAAACAAATACAACTATGAAAAAATATATACTAAATGAAGGTTATAAATTAACTTATTTTTAATAACTATGAAAATTAGAATACATAAATTTAATTATAGGACAAAGTCTAATTTTCTAGGTAGATTTGCAAAATTATTTATCACTTCTTCAGTGTTTATTAAAATACTTCGATGAATTGACATGAGATAATCCTGTTAGTCGATTTTCGCTTGTACTATTTCTCAAGCACGACTTCAATCTTTTCAATATCGAAAACGATCTTTCTGATGACGCTGTTGAGACTGGTAAAGTTACTAGTATTGACATTAAGCACCATATATTTGGAAAAAAATCAACGGATAGTTTATTCAAAGTATCAATAGCAGATTTGGATTTCTGACAAACCACGGAACATTTGCAATTATTCTGAGGACTTTGTTTTGGACAATTTGCATTTTTTTTGATGTGCGAGGATGCACAATTACCCCATACCGGGCAAGCGTAGGTAAGAATTGGGCGTATAATTTGCTTAAAAATTAGGAGAGAGCATTTTTTTCCCATACTAGACAGTTTGGTTTTAATTAATACATAGATTAAAGAAATGCACACGTGGATCGTACTAACCATAAATTTCGGGGGGGGGGGGTTGAACCCCCAAAACCCTCCCCTATAAACGCCACTGGTAATGTGTCGTGATGTTCGGCTACAACAGTAGTGTTCGTGAATTATTCGTGGTGCAGTTAACGATGTGTCTGTATAGTGCGGAATCACTTGTTTTTGTTGTGTAATTATTATTATTAATTACGGATTCCGGCACTGCAGCACATCATAACCGTAAAAAGCAGGTGGTGCACCACCGATTATAATTATTATTAGACGGGCCAGTATTTTGATTACAGTCAAAGTTTGGTTGTATCGCAGTAGATCCAATATAATATATTAAATATGTAATATTATTGTATATTTATTATATTGTATTATTTTAAGTTATGCCGGTTAGGGTCAACACATACATATTGATTTATTATTATTATTATAATAAAGCACATTATACAGTTCACTTTTATTTATTTGTTGGAATAAAATTCGTAGTGCCAGAGTTAGCCCTTTAATATTAAAGGCACTCCATGCGTTTACATTTTGGTCCTTATGGCCAAATCCTTTAAACGAGTCAAAGTTATTTAGGTTAACTATCGTAGCATTGATATTATTGGTTAGTGCAAGTGTGCTTCAAAATATATTAAATCATGAATACTGAAAAGAAAATGAAGAGTGCTGGCAGTTAGGAAAAGTAAAACATTGAGTAGGTAATACGCTGAATAGCATGATGAAGACATTTGCATCGAATTTCAATTCATTCTCTAGACGTGACGCAATCTTTTACAAAACAAAATAATAAAAATAATAATGTAAATTAAATTAGAAAAAATTAAAATTAAAAAATATCTTAAAACGTTATTGATAGGTGAAAAAAGTGGTGCGAAGAACACAGTAAACCATGATTAAAAAAAAATTTGAAAACAACATCTCTAAAAATAGTTAGTTTCAAATAGGTACTATATTTTATCAAATATCAGTCAACCGTAAAATACAATTAACGCCTTTTGTCAACCACTAGCATTTATAAATTTAATGTGCATACTTTCATATACAGATAAAGATAATTAGAAATGTTAAAACGTTGTAAAATTTATTTTACACAGAAACTTAAAATCTAAAGAGAACACGTTGGTAATATAAGTTTATGCATGTATAAATCAATAAAGTTTAATTGTTTCAAAATGTTTATGAAAAAAGAAAATACCTCGTTAATATTTTAATACTTCGTATTTTCCATCATGCAGGAGTAAGTATATACCTAGTAATAACAATCATATGTAATATTTTCAAATAAAAGTGACTCGCATATTAATGGAAACACAAGAATCAAAATTGATCTATTGTATACTTGTAAGATTAAGATGGACAAACACGGAAAATTCTACCGTTGCAGTCTCCTCAAAACCCATTATTTCAGATTTCATCGTAGTATATAAAACCATAAATCATCGTGACGTCTTAACTCGTAAAACAATCGGTTTACAATTATAGGTACGTGTCGTGATTCGTACACCGAGGATACAAAATAAACTTCTTTATATATAATTTTTGAATTATGGTCGAAACAACATAGACCAGTTTAGATCGAGGTAGTGAAAATTCAAGTTTTGTTGTATGAAATTGTAAAAATTCAAAATTTATTTCATACCAATTAAAGATAAGATATGGAATAACATTAATATTTCACATGGATTCTAAAAATTAGTCACATCTGTGTACGTTCATAAATCGATTGTTATGTTAGTAGAGTATATGCTCTAGAAATGTATGAATGATACATTTATTGTAAAAATATACTAAGATATATTGCAAATGGTACTTGAAATCAATCAATCGAGGAAGTCTTAATTATCATATCGTATACAAGAAAACAATTCCGAATTATTTATATTTAAAGAACGCGTAACTTAACGTACGTCGCCGTACACGTTTATTTTCTTTCGTCGTATAAATGTATATATTTATATATACATACAACCGCCTCGAGACGATCGCCCTGGTACGCCCCGACTAAGTATGGTTCTCGATCGATCGGCGTAAAGATATCTTAACGCATCAATCGATCGCGAGAGCCATTATACAACGCAATGAATACCTACATCGGTTATTCTTCTTTTTATTTTTTTTTTTTTTTAGGTTTTTTTGTTGTTGTAATCATTAACAAAGGTCGAGGCCGTCTAGGGGTTGGCAGTCTACCGAGTCGATATAACAATGTAAAATAATCATTACTGCGAGTAGGTATGGCTATTCACGATTAATTTATAAACATTGTGTGTGCGCGATGATCAAATACATCATCATGCACCCACGTCGACGTCGAGTATACCTGAGACAATATGATTTCAATAAGTCGTAAAATTAGTTTCACGCGCTGGTTTTTTTCCCCGAGTTCGGCGGATAGTAATAACGGTGACCTAAACATTACCCGACTGGATAGGACGACGCGTGTATTCTTTGGAATTCACCGGAAACGCTGTGCAAGATGGCACCTATACATGTAAAGAACCTGTCGGCGCACACATTGCATTACATCAGTCCGCAGGTAATCGTTCTTTTTTGAATGAATTGCATCCCAGACGCACAACTCGTATTATTACGATTACGTTTTCTACCTGCAATCGTGGTCGGATCAAATATATACGTATGTTAAACAATTCCAGCGGTGAATCTAGATTTTCTCGGGAAAAAAACAAATAGGATTTATAAAAAATTGAGTATTAATATTAATTTCAATGAGAATAAAATGAGTACAGATAAAGTTTGAAAACATTGTGGTACCAAGATTCTCGATCATGAGTTAAGCAATTATTGTGTAATGAAAAGAATTGAAACAAAAAATGAATCGTAAAATTATGTACAAATGTATAAGTTTCGATTAGATAATGAACTAAGAAATTGGGTTTCTAATACTCAGAGGTTAGAGCTTCCAAAGCTCTTCCTCCTTGACTCGACCCTTAACTTCAATGCAACGTTATGAGTGATTATCAATTAACTAATAAAAATATAAATATCACTTGTATACACCATTTTATTATATTCTTTGAACGATTACGGTGGCATCGGTTTATTAGTTTTTGTACATTTAATAACGTTACAGTCTTTTTTTCTATTAAGTTATAATATTTTCATAATTTCATAAGATTGGTTTAGTTTTTGCGTCTTCCGTAATACCTATATAAAAAAAAACCAATAATAATTAATAAATAAAAGCTAAACAATTTTTTATACAGCTAATTAAAATCAATTAAGATCGGTCAGAATTATGGATAGTTGTAGAAACCATGGTTTTAACGGGTTATGTATAAAAAAAACATTTAAATATATATATGTATTCAATTTATGTAAATCAGAGCCGTTATTGTTACCTTCGGTATTTAACGGTAAATCGTTTTAAAAAAATTTCTGAGCATATAACACAGCGTTCGGTATAATGAACAGCTATACGGATTTCGACGAGGTGGTCACAGAGATATCCGAACACGCGATAGCAATGGACGACTCCCAGATGGCGATTACGATCGATAAATGGTTGACGAAACTGACCGCGGATGATCGCGGGCCCAATGAGCTCAACTACTTGAGGCTGTTGCAGCACATGATGGTCCAGAGACGCGTGAGCCAGCCTTTCGTCAAACTGCCACCGGAGGGCCCGCTGTTACCGTTAACCCGGTACCTGAACCAGCCCGAAAGATCACATTTCTCGTGCGATGACGATTGCCGGTCGAAAAACGATACCGACGACGTCGCCGTCGTCGCGGAAAACGGTGACGAGGTGGACGGCGCAGACGACGGGGACGAGAACGGCGCAGATGACGGGGACGAGAACGGCACGGACGACGATGACGACGATGACGACAAAGTGTGGAGCTACGATTCGGCCGACACCTGTACCCGTAGGGAGGACGTGGTCACGGACGCGAGTGCCATTGTCGTGGACCGAGAAGGCGTTGACACGGACAAATACGAGGATCGCGGTGGCACGAGCGGTGACGACAACGATAAGGCGGCGGCGAGTGGTGCGATTGACTCGGCGTGGACCAAGCGTGATGGACATCTGGCCGCGGCGGGAGAACACCGGGAATACGCGAAAAGTGGCAATAGGGACGCTGTAAGGTACGAGAAAATGTGTGACCCCTGCGTGGATGGTACAGGGCCGCGGGGTCATGAAATGCTCCACGGTAAGCCGCTGAGCGCGGCCTACAAGTCGTTGTTGGGTGACTGCGCGTTACCGGTGTTCACAGAGACCGAGAAGAAAAAGGTCGGGCCCGAGCTGCTACAGGTTTTGGAGAACGTCGATGACGACACTACGCTACAAGACTTTTACTATCAGGTGAGTGTGTGTGCAGGCCTGACGAGAAGGGGGAAGGGATGATCCCCCCAGGGCCTGGATTTTTTGAGAAGGCTCGAAAATTAGGGACTACAAATTATTAAAAATTAAATTAAATTAATGATAAGAATTTAACGAACACCGTAGAAAAAATTAAGATACAACTCCCCCTCCCCCAGGCACGGGGTTCTTTCTTCACGGCCCTGTGTGTGTGTGTGTGTATCAGAGGCGAATAGCCAAAAAATGGTGTTTACAGCGAATTATCAATGCTGGTGGCATTATTGGACAATAACTTATCTGAAACCACTGCATGTAGGAAATTACCATATTGGGAAAGCCCTGGTATATCAAGGTAGGTCTATCCATTCCAAAGATGTGTGTACGTGCACGCGTGTCGGTCATACAATAAAGCCCATTATTTCCAAATACTTTTTAACGGAGAAAAAGTTGTATTTTCTTGACGAGGATTGACTGAGTTGGACTGAGGCAAACAAAACTAGCAAACAAGCGACTCCGTGTTACATGAGCAATTGTAGCTTGAGGCCCAAATATAAAATGTCTGGAGGGCCTGGGTGGGTATGGCCATTTACCCGCCTTGCCAGTCCACCCCTGAGGACAGGAATGACGAGGTCATGACCGTAACGAGCCTTCGCTAGCACGATAAATACACGCACGAATCCATACATACCTATAATATTGCAGTTCAAACGTTGGTTTGATTGATAATATTATATTGTTTTACATATACCTTGTTTGAAGGTTGAAGCTGCGATAACGAATGACAGAGCCACTCCGAATCGTTTCTATATGATCGCCGTTCGATTATGGCTCCTGATTTATTGATAAATTGAGATTAAAAATATAAAAATTACAAATATATAAATATTAGACCGCGACAAACGACATGACGTTCGGACATCAACCGCGACGCGTGATAGACAGATAAGACAGCCGTGGCATTTCTGTTTTCATTATTTGGCACGGTTCGGGTATAGGTACTGTATATGTGTATTAGTGTCGAGACGCCGACCATGACGAGCGAGAATATTTTTATTTATTTTTGTACCCTCTGTAAAGAAGTTTCACTTTAAAAATCATTTCTACATTCATTGGCTATCCACAGGTAGTACCACATTCAGTGGTGGTTCATTCCTAATATGGGTCCATGTGCAATAATAAAAAAAGGGTCCCTTCACATTTTAATTCAAAATATTATAGTTATATAAGTTCAAATTTAAATTAAGTATTTTTATTCTAAAATAATAAAATCATATAAAAATCTAGGTACTATCCTTTTGTATTTGATTAAAATTATTTTAATAAATATATTTAAAATATAAATAAATGTAAACATAGATTAAATATACATAGATAGCCCATAGCTATACGCAATATGGAAACACGTAAATTAGTACGGATTATGTGACAATAGATAGCGTTGGTAAATATTAAATTGTACACAATACACAAACCGGTAGAATAAAAATAAACTGGGATAAGAAGAATTTCAAGAATATAAATTAAATTGAATATTGTTATTTACTAAATCCATTGATTAAGGGCTAGTTCACATGAGAGGCGTTAAACGCGCGTCGACATTAACCGTATGATATAAATTTATACATAGGTACAAAATATTTTAATAGTTATATTAATTTTTAGTAGTAAATAGATGTACAACAATGTATATAAAAGTTTATTTTAAAAATTTATTTATAAATTGTACATTTATATTATCATACTTAATTCACTCATTGCGTTAAATTTACATATTTGCAATTTTGAATTGTATCGTTAATACAACATATAACCTTTTTTCGAAAATTGTTTAGTAATTTTGTTATAGGTAACAGCTAAAATGATCATATATTAATTAAAAAATGCTCAGCCATGTTTAATTAATTTCAATATGAATAAATTCTTAAGATATATTTAGTCAATAGTCGTATTGTAAAGATAAATAAAAGAAAAAAAAATCTGTTGTACTTTACAGGATTCGAAATCGAAACCCTTGGGTTCAAAGCCGTATAATATGACCACTGAACAACAAAAATAGCGCACTCTAATGTCTAGCTCCCATACTACTAGATTTCTGGCTCCCCCGGTCGGTTATTGGGAGCTTCCATACATTATCATTGGGGCTATCTATGTATATTTAATCAATGATGTAAATATAAATATAAATTATATAAAATATATTTTAATTAAAAAGATGTATAAATTAAGATGGAATTACATATCGCTTGTTTGCTACAACAATGACGAAAAACATGATTTTACACAAAACGCATTTGAAAATTGTATTTGCAATATGATGGCAACGCAATATGTCACAACTGCCATCTAGCGGCTAATTTTTGTATACTTTTTGTATCTCGTTCTTGCAGTATAAAGAAAATCACCAAAATTATTATTATTTGCAAACACCTAAAAAATGACGATTGTTTTTGTTATGTCATTGTTTTAGCAAACAAGCGATATAATAATAATAATAATAGTTCGATCAAAATTTCGTTTGTGTTCTTTTTTTTCAGCAAAACTATAAATTATTTTTTTTTAATTTCATTAATGTGCTCGATCGTTTTCATTAGATAGAATTCCAAGTCCACTTAATTTTCTTTATACATTGTGTTCCATAATATTTTTTTATTAATTTTAATTTTAAAAATGAACGTTCCGCTGTAGCTACTGTTACAGGGAGTTTCAAAAATATTATACACTGTATATATTTCAGAAAATGTTATTATTAATGTGGGGTTCTCTATAACCAGTAATTCAGTAATTGCTTTTACCGATGTTCGTTTTATAATTTCTTATTTAAAATAAGATCTGAACAACATCATTTGACCACCAAGAGCATTAGATAAATCAGAATTAATGTAATTTAAACTGGTAAAACGTTTTTTTAATGGTGTTATTGGATTATCCAATGTCAAATAATATATATTGATTTTAAATTGTTCTTTTGCTGAAATAAAAAAAATCACTGTATTTTGACCTGTATTCATGGAGATTTATCAACGCAGAGTTAAGTAATGAAACTGCTATGCTCAGTTCTTGTTTAGGAGACTGAAGATCTTTTAATACATTACATGTATTACATATAATAATATCGGATTATGGAATTACTAACAGCATTAATTTTATTTGACAAAATACCTGGTTCATCAATAGCTCACTCTTTTTTTTTTTTTGTTCCAATATGGTGTTGTTTGAAAAATGTATCAATTTTCGTTATCCGTTTAATAGATCCTTCTCTTTGTTTTTTTTATTTTCCGTTTCGTAGCACCACTTGTAAATTTTAAAGCCATTATAAATATAATTTATAAAATAAAATATTTAATTTAGTTTTTCGTGTATTATTTTGTATTGACACACGAGACTACGAGAGTCATAAAATAATACACCTTACTTAATAAATACGAAGCGATATTTTAGTCGTGTAAACTCGTAGAGGTTTATATTATATGTAGACATTTTACATTATAATATAGACATCGGTATGGAGAAAGGCCGATAAGCGACAAAGCGATAACAAAAAAATACTGAAAATGGATTTTTATAAAAAAATTTTAATCACCTTAAATTGTTGTTGATTTTGCAGAAGTAAAAATAATCAAATTTGATACAATATTTATAACATTTATATATTGATATCAAATTGAGAACCATGTGAACAAACTTGTTACTTTTTCATAATTATATTTAATTAATTTTTTTTTCTGCAATTTTGATTACTAATGCCCCCCTAGCCAAAGGTCCGTGGCATTTGTACACATCGCACACATGTATGACACGCCACCAACCACGTAGATACACCATTATTACGAATTATTCATATTAGAGTTCTAACAGGTATTTTCTTATATAAATATATAAATAGCAATTAAAATTAAATACGCTATCACGCGTTGTATCCTAGTGTGATATTTTTCCTTTTGAGTATTGGTTTCAGGAATTTTACTCTACCGGTGTGTTAACCTAAAATCCATTCTACCAGACGTTATCGACGTATATACGTGCCCCGGTTTTCTTATGGAAAAATATACACATTCAGTGATAAAGTGTGTACTTTTACACTACCACAGGTGTCGCAGTACACGTGCGACCAGGGAGTAATGATGATGAAAGTGTCAGAAAGCATGGTGGACGAATTCAGGATGTTCGTGTCGGACGTATTCGAAAGCCGCACGGAACACATTAGCGACGGGCTGTCCAAGGAGCAGACGTCGCTTAACGAGAAGTACACTTATCTGAAGGACCGGGCACTCAACCGGGCCACGGTGGCGTTGGACTTCCTGCGCGAGGCCTTGCCGGTGTTCAATTGGCATAAGTACCACAGCGAGCCGGAGGCCTACATGAAGCGTGAGATACTGCGACAGGTCCCTCCGTCTTCCGGCGATTCGAGCTCGGCTGTCAAGGGATCCGGGACGGTCGCGCATGACAACGCCATGGTCGCGGACGACAGTGAGGACACCCAACAGCAGTCGTCGGTCATCAAGAAACTACTTTACTCGCTGAACTGGATGCGCACCGAAGTGGCGCGGGTGGACTGCGAAGCCTCGCGACTTTACAGCCAGCGGGAGAAGCTGACCGCCAACTTGGTCGCGACCAACGAGAAGCGGACCGCGGCCCAGTGCCGTGCGACCAATGACATCGATCGGCACCAAAGCGAGCTCGCTCTGCTCCGGCACAAATCCGACGAACAGACCAAAATTATCGATCGGCTCGTAGAGTCCATACAGCTCATGCAGGCCAAACAGCCGTCGTCGTCCGTTAGCTGCTAAGCTCCCCCCCGGCACTCTCCTCCGTATAGTTTGGCGTTATGAAGTCTAAAAATTAAAACAAACTATCATTTATCAACCCTTTTTGTTGTTCAACAACTGTAGCGGTTGTCACGTAATAGTACGTACCCCAACATAAGTTACGCGATCTTTTTGAAACGAATTAATAATTGCAATTATTAATTGTATCTTATTTGTAATAAAAAAATAAAAAAATCAAGAAAAAATCTGAATTTTAAACACTAAAAACACTAATTTTCTACGTTATACATCATTCTATTTGTAATGGATTTTTTCTAATTACAATAAATTATAGGTACAATGGTTTGCAATTAGTTGGTCAGATGAAAAATAATAATAAATATTGTAATATACTGTTAAATATAATGTAGGTACCATAATAATATCAATGGTGTTAAACATAGTATTGGTCATAAGCGTGCACAGAATTCCTGGCAGGATAGTCATATTTAACACATTACACATTAGCATTGTCCTCTTCTACCCACTAAAAAATGTATTTTGCATTAAAGTTCGTTCCCTACTCATAATGTATCTTATCTATAATATTGATATAATGACCTACCTATTAAGATAAATTTTACTCCATAAAAAATGATTTTATTTAAATATGTTTATACATTTAATTTTAATTGAGTTAGAATAGTGGGGTCGGCAACTAATGTCTCTTTTATGCGGCCCACAGTAAATTTCAAAACTAGCAAATGTCATTGAATATCATATACATTTTTTATATTG